GGTGAGAGTCGTAAGCCCCTATAGTAAAAAGAAGTTATTTCGTAAACTTCTTTTGTTTATAACTTCTTAATGAGTAACGTCCTGCAATTAAAACTTTCTCAGGGTCACTCAGGGTCATGACCTTGACAACATATGTCAAGGTCAAGGTCATTTGGGGAGGGGGGGCTCCCCTAATCTACATTTTTACCTTAAAATGTAGTACATTTGATATATAATTATAAAATGTTCATTTCTGATTTTTCTTTCTCTTTATGTTTGTTTCAGTATTGCATTTCAACGATTAGTAGATTTTATGATCCTAGTTCTACAATATTCGTTATTATATTAATATATAAATTTTATAATATTCAGATTACTGGACTGATGCGGCCACTTCATTTATCCTCGACAAATACGAAACGTATTTATCCGATATTGGTCCAATGAAGAAATTTAAAACTAAAAAACTCATGTGGTCACAAATATCCACAGATATGATGAAAATGTTAAACATCTCCAAAACTTCTGTACAAATTGAAAATCGATACAAAATCGTCTTGAAAAGAAAGAAGAAAGTCGTAGAGAATAATTGTAAATCAGATAGTTCCAGAGAAAAAGTACCATTTGAAGAGGAATTGCGGAAAATTGCACATTCAGATGACAGCATCGAACCTAAGGTATTGCGAAGTATCAGAAGTGTGAGATATCCTAAATTCAATGTACCTGAAATTCCGGAAGAAATCTGCAGCATTAATCTTGCAAAGCATGCCATCGATGGCTCACCGAAGGCAAAAAAGTCTAGGCGGACTAATGCAGATATAAGAATGGAATTATTTGAAAAAAAAGAAGCCGCAAAGGAAAAGCGACATAAGGAAAAGTTAGATCTGATACGCGAGTTGTTCGGTAAACCGAATACAGAGTAATACAGTAATAAAGTAATGAAAAATAACAATAAAAGAAGAACTAAACATAGTTATTGGTGTGATATTAGAACTATACACAGGGTCATCGAAAAGTAGCGGACCCCCCTAATATCTTCAGTTAGAATGCATTTTGGAGAAAATGTCCAATAGCAAAGTTGTATGGTTTCAAGCGAGGAGTAAGATAATGACCTTGACTTTGATCTTGACCATGTCCTTTAAGGTCATTTCAAGGTTAACCTTATTTTTTTAAATGGAACCCCCTACATTTTATTGCATATTTTTACAGCTTATCTCGAGAGCTTTCCAAAACACTATAATAAAACATTTTTTCATTAAGTACTTTTTGATTTATAAAGGTTTGAAGTTAACAATTTTTTGACACAAAATGTAAAATATCTTGTAAAATATTATTTAGTTTTCAGTAATCATAACCTAACCTTAATACTATTGTGCGCGGAATAATGAGACCAATTAATTGGTTTAAAGAAAATACATTAATCAAAAAGTGTCGGATCCCCCTAATATTTTCAGTAAGAACGCATTTTGGAAAAATATCCAAACCTTTATTTCCAAAAAATACTTAATGAAAAAATGTTTTATTGTAGTGTTTTGTAAAGCTCTCGAGATAAGCTATAAAAATATGCCATAAAATGTAGGGGGTTCCATTTAAAAAATAAGGTTGACCTTGAAATGACCTTAAAGGACATGGTCAAGATCAAAGTCAAGGTCATAATCTTACTCCTCATTTAAAACCATACAACTTTGCTATTGGACATTTTCTCCAAAATGCATTCTAACTGAAGATATTAGGGGGGTCCGACACTTTTCGATGACCCTGTATAAATAGAACTATACATGATAGTTCCTATGATAAAGTATGTTAAAGTAAATTACAGTAAGTTTCTGTAAGATATTGGACTTTTTTATTAAGAATTTTGTTTGTTACATTAGTTTAAACATTCATATGAATAATTTTCTTTGTATACGACTGATATATTATTACCTTTAGCAAAATTTTATTGATTAAAAAATTTTATTGATAATGGAAAGAGTTATTTTTTTATTATTATTTAATACAAAGAGTTTATTTACTTTATAATACTCTATCAAATTCTGATATAGTTAGTAAATATGATATCCTTGATTATTGACTCGTATGAATAAATTTAAATGTGTTTCATGCCAACTCGAATCCAAACACCGATTATAATTGTGTCTTAGATTCTTTATTATAATATGATATACATTTCGATCCTTGTATCGGATCCTTATCAATATCTCTTAGATACTACAACTACATCAATGTGCTTCCTAGAACACTAATAGCGTTTTTCATTGGCAAAACTAGTGCGCACTCAGTGTACATTAAAGCTGTTGTACACTATTCTAATCTAAATATAAAAGTGAGATATCTCAATTGATAAAATGCCCAAAATTTATTTTATTAAATAGCACAATAAAATGTATCGAATATTTCACGGTTTAATTCGTTTATATATTTTTATTAAACGTATATCTTTACGTCCATTTTTGTACAACGGCTTTAAAGTGCACTCAGTGCGCACTAGTTCTGCCAATGAAAAACGCTATAAATGATCAATTATTAATTTTCAATTAATGAAGCAAGTTGTTGATAATAAGGATGCGATCATTTGGTGTTCTAGGAAGCACATTGATGTAGTTGTAGTATCTAAGAAATATTGATAAGGATCCGATACAAGGATCGAAACGTATATCATATTATAATAAAGAATCTAAGACACAATTATAACCGGTGTTTGGACTCGAGTTGGCATAAAACACATTTATAGTTAGTAAAATTGTACTGCAATGTTGAAGTGCATTATTGTTGTGATAACTACATTTTTTAACATATTACTTAAAGGTCCGTCTACAATACACGGAGTAAGAAGTAAGAGTAAGAAATTGACCAATCACAGTCGAATGTGAGAAGAATAATCGACTGTGATTGGTCAATTTCTTACTCTTACTTCTTACTCCGTGTATTGTAGACGACGCCTTATAGTGTATTAAAATATTTTAACATATTACTTAAAGTGTATTAAAATATTTTCGACTACTGCATTATTTAGCATACACAATTAAATATTTATTATAATCTTATATTTATAACTAGGTTATAACCTGAATGTTCACAAAGGATGACAAGTATACAGTTTTGATATGATAAATAAACATGTAATATGTAATTAAACTATTATTGTTGCTTCTTTTCATGGGAAAAGTATATTTAACAACAGATTCCTTTTCATTTCTCCTAATCTCCGGAGTAAAGCTTCCTGCTCTCCTTCATTTTCATTATATTCTTCATTATCTGATGATGAGGGTACATCAATATCGAAGGTAAAGTCATCGTCGTTGTCAATACATAAATTATGCAAGACGCAACAAGAAATTATGAATTTAGATATCTTATCAACGCTATGAAGATCTAATTCAGTAAGTTGTTGAAAACGAGTCTTCAAGAGCCTGAACGCATTCTCGATTAATACTCGAGTTACACAAAATTGTTTATTAAATTTCCGCTGTTTCTCGGACAGATTTCCATAATCCCTATAAGGAGTCATTAGCCATTCCCTAATTGGGTATGCTGCATCACCCAATATATGAAATTTTCCTTCACAGATTCGTTGTAAATCATCATTGATGTCTGATAACTTTAAAACTCGCGAATCATGGATCTTTGCTGGAATCCCTGTGAAGACATCAATAAACCTTTTTCGAGCATCACATATACCTTGTAAAGTAATTGCAGGAATATCATGTCTGTTTACATAGGTTGACTTAATTTTATGCGCTGGTGTTCGAACTTTAATCGACGTGCCATCAATCAGCCAACTACGTTAGGAAAATCAGCAATCTGAAAATTGCATACAACTCTACATTTCAGTCAAGTAATTGTTATATATTTATGTAATATGTGTATATATATATATATATATATGAGAGAGAGAGAGAAAGTTATATTAGATGTTACACTTAATTCCTATCGCTCGCTACTAAAGGGCTCTACCTTCAACGCTGACGAGTTTCGACGATGAAGTCACATGTCTTTTGTAGTTTAGAACATCGCTGAAAGTGATTCAATCCTTACAGGTAAGATTTCTCGACGCCAAAGAGATTTTCCAATCGATTGAAAATGAATCGCGATAAGCTGTTTTTCCGACATGGGTTTCTTCACTACTTCGACCTCAAGAAAACCACAGCTGAAGCGCATCGCTTATTATCTGAAATTTATGGTGATGAAACTCCATCGGAACCAACATGTAGAGTTCGGTTTCAACACTTCCGAAACGGTGATTTTGATGTGAGAGACAAAGAATGTCCAGGACAGCCGAAAAAATTGGAAGATGTCGAGCTGCAAGAATTGCTTGATGAGAATCCAGCTCAAACGCTTTTAGATTTGTCGAAACAGTCAAATGTTACTCCGAATGCCGATTGAATGACGAATTGATGCAAAAAAGATCATACGTAGCCAACAATCGACGCAAAGTCATTTTGTTGCATGATAATACTCGACCGCATATCGCGAAAAGCGTGAAGCAGGCACTTCTAGAGCTTGAATGGGAAGTTCTCCCGTATCCAGCGTACTCTCCAGACTTGGCACAGTCGGATTACCATCTCTTCCGATCGATGTAACACGCACTTACGGACACACATTTCTCCAGTTACAACGACGTCCAAAAATGGGTGGATGAATGGATCGCCTCGAAAGACACCGCGTTCTACCGTCGTGGGATTGCCCTGTTGCCGGAGAGATGTGAAAAAGTAATAGAAAATGGAGGAAATTACTTTGATTAAGGTATTCATTCATCTTCCCTTCGAAACAAATCGATTTTCGAAACGAAAAAACGATAGGAATTAAGTTTAACATCTAATATATACGAGGGTCGTCTGAAAAGTTTTGAGCCTCATCATGAAGATGGCGTTACTCGTTAAAGCCATTCTGGTATTATAATCGTGATACTTACGAAAGATATCTGTGACAATTGTGGCCACTTTGGACGTTCAGTTCTTGTTTGACAATTATTTGTGTCGTCATTTTGTAAAAATGGAAAAAATTGAATATCGTGCTATAATTAAATTATTGCATTTGAAAGGCAAAACGTCTACGCAAATTAAAGACAAGTTGGACGCTGTTTACGGGGACTCTGCCCCATCATTTACCACCGTGAAAAGATGGGTAGCTGAATTTAAACGTAGTCGTACCAGCTTAGCTGATGATGATCGTTCGGGACGGCCAATAAGTGCGACCACCACCGATAACATCGAAGAAATTCATCAAATGATAATGGACCGTCGAATTAAGATTAGGGAGATAGCAGAGGCTGTTGGTTCAAAAGAACGTGTTTGTCATATATTGACTTACCACTGCAGAATTGAACATATTATCATTTTTGTGGTAACTTGGAATTTGTATTGAATTATCACTTATACTTTCTGCGTGAATAGTAATTAAACACTCTATATGTAGATTTGCTGGCAATAAAATTTGCCTCAGAGAACCGAGTGCTTAATTTTTTAATTGACATTGCTCCGAACATAAAATTTAAAGACAACGAAATCTCTGCAAACGAGTTCTTACAAGTATGTTGACCTAAAGATTATTAATATATTATAGTGTATATATTAGGTGTTGAACTTAATTCCTATCGTTTTTTTCGTCTCGAAAATCGATTTGTTTCGAAGGGAAGATGAATGAATACCTTAATCAAAGTAATTTCCTCTATTTTCTACTACTTTTTCCCAT